GCGAATCAACGTAACTGTCGTGCCCTCACAATTCTGACTGCTTCCAAAACACCGTTTCTGGCTCTGTGTCTCTGTGTCTCTGTGTTGTCTCTGTGTGTTGTCTCTGTGTGTTGTCTCTGTGTGTTGTCTGTGTGTGTTGTCTGTGTGTGTTGTATGTGTGTGTTGTCTGTGTGTGTTGTCTGTGTGTGTTGTCTGTGTGTGTGTTGTCTGTGTGTGTTGTCTGTGTGTGTTGTCTGTGTGTGTTGTCTGTGTGTTCTCTGTGTGTTTGTGTGTTCTCTGTGTGTTCTCTGTGTGTTTTCTGTGTGTTCTCTGTGTGTTCTCTGTGTGTTCTCTGTGTGTTCTCTGTGTGTTCTCTGTGTGTGCTCGGTGTGTTCTCTGTGTGTTCTCTGTATGTTCTCTGTGTGTTCTCGGTGTGTTCTCTGTGTGTTCTCTGTGTGTTCTCTGTGTGTTCTCTGTGTGTTCTCTGTTTGTTCTCTGTGTGATCTCTTTGTGATCTCTGTGTGTTCTCTGTGTGTTCTCTGTGTGTGTTCTCTGTGTGTGTGTTCTCTGTGTGTGTTCTCTGTGTGTGTTCTCTGTGTGTGCTCTCTGTGTGTGTTCTCTGTGTGTTCTCTGTGTGTGTTCTTTGTGTTGTGTTCTCTGTGTGTGTGTTCTTTGTGTGTGTTCTCTGTGTGTGTTCTTTGTGTGTGTGTGTTCTCTGTGTGTGTTCTCTGTGTGTGTTCTCTGTGTGTGTTCTCTGTGTGTTCTCTGTGTGTGTTCTCTGTGTGTGTGTGTTCTCTGTGTGTGTGTGTCTCTGTGTCTCTGTGTCTCTGTGTCTCTGTGTCTCTGTGTCTCTGTGTCTCTGTGTCTCTGTGCCTCTGTGTCTCTGTGTCTCTGTGTTTGTGTTTGTGATTGTGGTTGTGGTTGTGGTTGTGGTTGTGGTTGTGGTTGTGTTTGTGTTTGTGTTTGTTTGTGGTTGTGTTTGTGTTTGTGTTTGTGCTTGTGTTTGTGTTTGTGTTTGTGTTTGTGTTTGTGTTTGTGTTTGTGTGTGTGTTTGCGCGTGCGCGTTCGTGTGCGTGTGCGTGTGCGTGTGCGTGCGCGTGTGCGTGTGTGCGCGTGTGTTACTGGCGGTCTAGTCGCAGCGAAACTGCAATCGAATATAGCGGCGTGTTTTTTTTACCCGCGCGTCTAATTTCGACAAAGCTCCTCACTGCAGCCAGCGTGAGCCGTGCTGCCGCTGCAAGAGCCCGACGCAATAGAGCGAGGATTTGGGACCATCGTCGCGCCCGCCCCCCACGAACAGCAAACAACCGAACCAGTGGACGTGAGGCCCCAAACTTGGCGAACGAGGCTTGCCTCAGGAGCTCGCCGCCCAGCAGGATCGAGGACGCGGCACGCGATCCGACAGCTTGATCAAGATCGACCGCGGCGAAATTTAGACGGGGACTCATACCCCCCCTGCGCGTCTGACACAGGCAAGGAGAGGTACCCCATGGGACAGCCTGAGAACGTTGGTTCCAAGTTTGGGCGCGTGCACCTGATAGCGAACAAACAAGAAAATGGTTTGGTCTGTAGCGTCCTTCCACCCACGCGCGCACGCCACGAGCCAGGACCTTGCACTCCGAGGCACGTGGCGTCCCGCTTCTGGCCCGAATACGTCTGCATTGGCTGCGGCCTGGCTTTGTGCACGTCGAGGCGCCGTCGCTGTAGCACTGACTCCTTCGAGAAGCGGACAGAGAAAAGGTGATGCAATTTTGCGACGTCGCGCTGCTGATCGTCGTCCTACACAGGGGGAGGGGGCCCGAGGTGCCTTCGCACAACTCCGGGCCCTTGGGTTGCACGGGACTGGCTCTCGCGCATTCTTCATAGGTGGGAGGCGCGGGCGGAAAATTCGATTGTTCACTGGCCGCTACAGACGCAAGCCGTAATGCTGGACCCTTTTTGCGGCCGCCCCGCCGTCGACGACCACAGGGCGCCCTGTGTAGCATCTACGGTCCAATTGTTATACGTAAGCTTGGAGCACACGCTGCCTGTGCCAGCCGACTCGGCCCCAATTCCGTGGGACCCGAGGGCCCTTGGCCACGCCTTGCTTTGAAGCAGCCGCGTCAACTCCTATCTCTCGGCGTCTCCTCTCTAGCCTTGTCCACTTCGACAACACAAGGTTCCGAGCTGGTTGCGTCTGGCTGCGAGTCTGTTGGGCGCGCCGGCGCGCGATTTTTTCGTGTGCAATTGTTGGAAAAAAACGATTGGTAAAGGGTGGCAGGTGCACCCCTCGAAGTAGACGCACCCCGAACCACAGGGCCGCCATCTGCCGAGCACCTCCCCTTACACATTTGCTAATTTTCGTGACGTTTGTGGCGGCGTAGAGGGCCGGCCTCCCGCGCCATCGCTCGCGGTCGCACTGCGCCGCGCCATCGGCCCCCATGGCGGCCCACTCAGCTCTCAGTGAGACGTGGGAGAGGCTGCTGGGTGGCTGCGTCTTGGCAGAGGTCTTTCGCCCCCCCTCGTGGCCCCCCCGTGGAGTGCAAGTGCTCGCCAGCCCGGGCTGCCCATGGGCCCCGGGCTTACATGCGTTGCCCCTTGGCCTGGCTAGCACCGCAGACGCAGGACGCGGCGACGAAGCCCGACAAGGGAGGAAGGGCAGAGCGCGCGTGGGAGCAGACTCGCCGCCCATGGCTGCGCGGCGCCTCCCTGGCGGCTGCATCGACACATCTGGCCGCTCCCAGAAGCTAGCGCGCCACGCTAGCGGGTGCCGGGCGGCTGTCGTCATCCTCGACGTACAGTTGGACCCCGTCGGGCACATCAGGGGGCCCTCCCCTGCCCACTGGGCCCTGCCCCAGCGAAGCGAACGCCCATCCGCCCCAGAGAGCAAAAAAGTGGAGGGAGGACGTGGAAAGGCGAGGGGCGGGAGCATGATTGTCTTCCTGATCGCAACGTGCCCAGGTCTGGGTTGGAACGCCCGTGACTCTCGGGGCGGATGGGGGCCGCGCCCGACGACAGAAGCGGCGCCCAGGGAGCCAAAGAGGAGGGGTGCAGGACGGGGCCCGCCGGGCACCCGCCTGAGGCGACGAGCGGAGGCCCGCATGGCGCGGGGCGCGCGCTTGCGCCCGCCGCGGAGAGGGAGGAAGGGGGAAAATAACGTACAAGGTGGCGAGAGCAGAGGGAGGGCAGCACCATGGCAGCCACGAGAAGGAAGAGCGCATGCAGCAAGAGCGCGGGGGGCTCACTTCCCCCAAGCCCGCTCAGCAAATCGCACCAGCTACAGGACGAATGTGCGCCACGCGCATCAGGTATATTCCCACTCCAAAGTTGGAACTGGGCGAGGGCGCGCGCCGAGGGGGCAGGGCAGGCGAGCGAGGGCCACGAAGCAGCGTGGATCCCAGCTGCGGCGGGGCAGCGGAGGAGAGCGCGCGACACGTCTGCGTCGCCAGCCCCGCGCGCAGCACACCGCGTCTGGCGCCGCGGCAAGTCCGCCCCTCCCCCCCCCCCTCCTTCCCCCCCTTCCTGCGCGCGGCGATGGCCAACGCCGTGTCCTCCGAACAGCCTAGCCACAGGGTGTCTCGGCGTACTTGTCTATGGTTGTCACAGGAAGTGCTGGTACGGCGCGCAAGACGTGCGTTTTTGTTTTGTCGTTGTTCCTCCTCGTGCGGGCGTGCCCCAAGCCGATGCCACCGCGTCGCGCCACCCCCGCCGCGCGGGGCTCTGCCGCTGCCCGCCGCCCGGCGCCGCCGGCCTTTGCCCCGGGCTAGCCGCCGCCCTCAGTCGCCGCCCTCCTGCCGGCGGGCGGCCGAGCGCGGCCCCGCTCTGGCGCCTCCGGCCGCCGCCCGCCGCCGCGCCGCCCGCCGCGCGCCTCGGCCGGCCCTCGGCGGGCCCCAGCCAGCTGCAGCTCGCGGCGGGGCCCCCCGGGCAGCGGAGCCTTGCCGCCGGGGCCGCTTCCCCGCGTTCCCGCCCTGCGCTGCGCCCGCCCCACGTCGACGATGCATCTTGTGATCGAGATGCGCGCAGGCCCCGTTGTGTTCGGACACTGGCTGTCTACATAGACGTGCTGTGCATGTTATTGTTGCCGCGGCCGCGGGCACTTCTGCTCAAGCGTTGAGGATGGGCAGCACGACTGCTCTCGCGGTCGGCGGGGTTTCCATTCTCCCCACGATACGCCTCCTCGCCTATTTCGTCGCCCAGAGTATCCCTCCGCCGATCTGCCCTGGCCCGCCCGAGTGGCCTGCCCGCGGCCTCGCTCGGCTGGACGACCGCATCGAGCAGGCGGAAGAGGCAGTGCGGAACCTCAGCTCAGCAGTGGAGGCACTGACGGGCCCACCGTTCTGCATGCTCGAGGAGCAGCCTGAGCCGATCGCGCCGCCGCCGCTGTCGGACGAGTCCCCGCTGAAAACGTCTTGGGGCTGGTCGGGGGCGCTGGCGGGCCTGCTAGAAGTCTCCGAGGGCATATCCGCCTGTGCGCTGTGGCGCCGTCGCCGTGGCGCTCGTGGAGACGAAGGAGATCCCCCGCCGCGGGAGATGGCTGGTGCTGCGGTTGGCGGACGGCACCGCCGTGGGGGCGCAGGGGCTCTGCAGTAATATGATCCCGGGCGATTGCATCGGGGTCTGGTATGATGACGATTCGGCTTGGCATCATCGTGCGCTCTTGTATCCAGTCGGGCCGAAGGTGTGGTACACGCTCTCGCCCGATGGTGACTGCGCCCCTGAGAATGTGGCCTGCGAGGATCCTGAGGGCTGTTCCCGCGCGGTCAGGATCGCACGAAATGGAGATCGCCCCTCGGTGGAGCGTGGAGGTTTCTACCAACCCCGAGAGCCGATCGGTGGAGGGAGCCTGAGGAGCTTCATCAGGCTGGCGCGCGCGGAGGCGGCGGAGTTGGGTGGGCCTCTGATGGGCCCGAGCCACTGCCTCGAAGACGGCAACCTCCTCCCTTTCGGTGGAGCCATCCGTCGTATCGCTCCGCTGCGCGAGGCGGCCCCCGCCGCCGCTGCCGTGGGGGCGCCAGGGGGGGCTGGCTCCGGACGCGCTGCAGCCGCTGCCGCCGCCGGACGAGGCCGACTGCCCTACGCCGCGACTCCAGCTCGGCCCGCCGAAGGGACTCGAGTGGGTGCTGGTGGAGGCGCCAGGGCTGGGGCGAGCGATGCAGCTCACGAGACATGACGTACGCCTCGATGAGCGGAACGCCGCGGTGCGGCTTGAGGGCGGCTGGCAGCGCGCACTGGCGGTGGTGCCCGACGAGAAGGCCGAGCTCGTTAGGAACGTGCGAGAGGCCTACCGCGGGCGTAAGTTCGAGGAGTGGATGGAGGATCGAAAGGGCGACGAGGTGGCAGACTCCGCTGGGCTAGCTGAGATCGGCGAGCGCGCAGGCGCCTCGGCGGGGCACCGCGAGCGCGCAGGCGCGCAGGAGGAGGCCGAGGAGGTCAGGGCCCTCTTGGATCGTGATGGACGAAGCTGGGGAGCGCCATAAGCCCTGGCGCTCGGTCGCGCGCGAGCTGAGCTCCCACCTCTTCCCAGACTGGCCTTTCGAGGACCAGCTCTCGCAGACGCTGCGCATGGCTAAGAGGTTCGAGAGGGCTGGCGGGGGCCCGCTCTCGTGGCTGGCGCTGTGGCTGCGGGGGAAGGGCGTCGGTCATAATGAGCGCGCGGCGATCGAGATGACCACCCTCCTGACGGCGGTTCAGCATCCAGGATCGCATGATCAGTTGAACATCGCGTCCTTGGCTTCGACGGAGGTGATGCGCAGACGAGTGGCCCAGATCACAGAGGCCTACCGCGACGACCCCATCGAGACCCAAGTGGCAGGGCCTGGAGCCATACGTGGGCATCGCCGGGCCGTTGGAGGTCGTCGATCCAGGTCTAAGGAGCGCGGTTGCCCGCAAAGAACAAGGAGAAGGCCGAGATTGAGAATGTGAAGAGCAGGCTCAGCGGGCAGCCCGCCTGGAGCCAGTTCGCGGCGGGCGCGGCGGAGGGGCTGCCTGGCGGCCCATCGGGCCCGAAGGGCCCAAAGTGTCCGAAGGGCCCCAAGGCTGGCGGCGGCAAGGGCGGCGCAGACGGCGGCAAGGCAGCAGCCGGTCATCGGCCCCCGCCGCCAGTGAAGCCACGACCTCAACACCCCCCCTCGGAGTGGGCGGCCTTCGGGGGGGCCCCGAGGGAGAGAAGGGGGTAGCCTTCCTCTCCCCTTTTCCTTTTTTGCGAGCTTGGCTGTGGGTTCTTCTCTCGGCATCGCTGGGGCGATAACTCTCCTGGAGCGCGCTGCCAGCGGAAGATTGTAAGAGAGGCTAACGGTGTCACTCGAGCTCTTAATTGGCTGCATATCCGCGGCGGGGCGGCCAGCCCGCCCTCTCCGCAGCTGGTCGTAGGGGTGCATGCGCGCATTGTCAGAGCGGCTCAGGCCACTCTGGGCAAGGACGCGATTCCCCTGCCGCGAGAGGCCTTCCAGTCCCCCTTCAACGGCCGCTCAGTCTACGAAGCTGACGCGGGCGGAAGAAGCATCGGACACCTCCAGCATGCGCGGCAGATCTCTTTGCCCGAGTCAGTCGTAGGCGCGCCTCGCCTGTTGGAGATTCTACAGGCTTACGCCGCATCCGCCGACCCCTTCTGTGAGTGTTGCGAGGCCAGCGGCGTCTTGTGTGAGGGTGCGATGTCGCGCGCGGGTGGTGGCAGATGCGTAGGGGGTCCAAATGTTTGCGTGATGCCGGTGGTATGGGGCGTGTTTTGCGAGCGCCTTGCGTGCTGTGCGACCGGGCGCGGGTGTCCTTCTGGGAGGTCGGCCTTTCGACCCGCAGCCAAGTGGAGGACCACCGGAAGACGAAATGAGAAAGAGCGGTGTGCGGAAGTTGTGATCAGCGAGGCATCGCCGCGAAAGATGTGGCAGATGAGTCGAAACGGGTGAAGAGGCGGTTGACGTTCGCAGCGCGCGCGGAACAGTTCGCGCGGCAGCAGCACATTAGCGCCGAGCAAGAGAGCGAGCACTTCACGAGGAAGAGCAAGGCTGTATGCGCGGAGTGCATTGCAATTGGCTTCACGGCTCGCAATGCGGAAGCGTCTGGGGGTCTTTGGGGGGCCTCCTGGGGGCCTCTTGGGGGCTCCTTGGGGCGTCTTGGCGGCCTCTTGGGGGCCTCTGGCGGCCTCTTGGGGCATTCTTGGGGGCTCGTGGGGGCGGAAAGCTGGATTTTTTGAATTTCCGGCTGCCCTCTTAGGCCCCTCTTGGCGCCGTCTTGGGGCCTTCTTGGGCCGTCTTGGGGACCTCTTGGGCCGTCTCGGGCCATCTTGGGCCGTCGTGGGGCCGTCTTGGGGGCCTCTTGGGCCGTCTTGGGGCGGTCTTCGGGGCCTCTTGGGCCGTCTTGGAGCGCCGGAAAGCCCAAAAGGCGAATCTATGAAACATATGCGTTTTACGAAAGAAATGAGCAACTTTCTGCGTCTAGGGACCCTCTTGGGACGTATCTTGGAGGCCTCTAGGGGGCGCCTTGGGCCATCTGGAGGCCATCTCGGGTGTCTCCGATCGCTCTTGGACCGTCTGGGACCATGTTGAGCTCTCTTGGAAGCACTTGGAGCGCTCCTGGAGCGCTCTTGGGGCCGTCTTCGGAGCTCTCTTGGGCCGTCTTCGGCGCCTCTTGAGCCGTCTTGGGGCCCTCTTGGGCTGTCCTGGGGCCCTCTTGGAGGCTTCTTGGGGCGGTCTTGAGGGCCTCTTGGGCCGTCTGGGAGCGTCGGAAAGCACAAAAGGCGAATTTGTGAAACATGTACGTTGTACGATGGGAGCGGGCCAATTTTTGCGTCTAGAGGCCCTCTTGGGACGCATCTTGGATGCCTCTTGGAGCCTCTTGGGGGCATCTTGGGCCGTCTGGAGGCCATCTTCGGTGTCTTTGATCGCTCTTGGACCGTGTGGGACCATATTGATCTCTCTTGGAGGCCACTTGGAGCGCTCCTGGAGCGCTCTTGGGGCCGTCTTCGGGGCCCTCTTGGGCCGTCTTTGACGCCTGTTGGGCCGTCTTGGGGCCCTCTTGGGCTATCTTGGAGCCCTCTTGGAGGCTTCTTGGGCCGTCTTGGGGCGGCATTGGGGGCCTCTTGGGCCGTCTGGGAGCATCGGAAAGCCCAGACGGCGAATTTGTGAACAATGTACGTTTTACGAAGGGAATGGACGCATCTTGGAGGCCTCTTGGGCTCTTGGATGTCTCTTTGCTTGTTTTGGAGTCATCTTGGTCGTCTTGGACCGCTCCTTTGGCTACTCGAGGCCTTCTTGGACCGTCTCGGAGACCCCTCGGTGCGCTCTTGGCTTGTTTTTGGGCCCTCTGCTCCCCCTTGGCGCGTTCGGCGGGGAGTCGTGGTAGGCGAAGGGGGGGGGGGGGGGGGGCGAATCTCCGGTTTCGGGCCCCTGGGGGGGGGGGTACGGGGGGGAACTATCTCACACGCCTCGAGACCCACAAGGGGTCGGCGGATTTTACCAAGTGATGCACGCCGCTATCTGGAGAGTGGATTGAAGCGCATACTGCTGCCTGACTCCGAGCGCGGAGCTCGGGTAGCGGATTCGGGGGCTACTCCCCACTGGGACTCTGCCCTTCTTCGAGGCCGCACAAAGTACCTGCAGCTGATGCGGGATTTGCGGCGCCGTGGCCTTCTTGCGTTCCTGAGCCCAGATGAGGTCAAGGAGGAGGTGGAAAGATGCTTCATCAAAAAGAAAGAGACAGGACAGTTGAGACTCATCGTAGATGCTAGAATATCTAACCGTCATTTTTGCTCGCCGCCCGGAGTGAATTCTAGCGACTGCCGAGGGCCTCTCGAAGATGGAAGTGGATAAGAAGACACACGAACAGCTTAGGGAAGAAGATGGTTTCCGATTCTGCCTGGGCACCTCGGATGTGAAGGATGTCTCTTCGCAGATTCAAGATTGATCGCGAGCTCTCCGCCTTCTCTTGCTTGCAGCCCGTGCGCGCCGCAGAGTTGGGGCCCGCGGGCGCGAACATTAATGGTGTGATCGTGGGAGCCGAGTCCTGGGTGTTTCCTGCGCTTGAGAGCCTCCCGATGGGCTTCACTTGGTCGTTTTATTTCTGCCAGCGCACGAACGAAAACTATGTCGGAGGTTCCTCCAGTTTGCGGATCGCGGAGGCCCTGAGCGACAAGACCTCGCGCTGTCTCCCTGGCCCTACAGGGGCCCCTTCTTTCAGCCTACTACGTCTACGTGGACAATATTGGGGTCTTGGGATGGGAAGAACAATCTGCGCGACGTGGACTCCAGCAGGCCCCCCAGCTCCTCACCAGTAAGGGCTTCGAAACTCACGGTGACGATATCCAAGTTGGGGGGGGGGCGAGACCTCGGGGTGCATCTTGGACGGGGACAGCCTGTGTACACGCGTGACCCCAAAGAGGTATTGAAGGTTTGGCAGGCACTCCGATGGGGCCTCCGGTGTCGTGCTCTTGCCGGGCGCGCTTGGGAGATCCTGCTAGGGCACTGTACGTTTGTGGGGCTCTGCAACAGGGATATCTTGTGCGTGTTCAGCTCGTTGTACAAATTTATACAGGCTCGGTACCTCGTGGCGACTCCTCTCTGGGAGTCCAGTCGTCGAGAGGTCGAATCATTCTTCGGTCTCATGCCACTCCTGCTTGGACAGCGAGGCCGAGACTGGCATCCCGTTGTCGCAGTGGCAGATGCTTCTGAATACGGACAGGCCGTCAGCGTGAGCGATTTCGGAAAAGAGCAGGTGCGAACAATTGGCCGAATACAGGAGATGGGGCCAGTGCACCCCTTGCAGGCCCGGGGCCATCGCGGGGCCACGTTTGGGGGGATTGATCCAAGGAGGGGGGCTTAGCCCCCCGCAGGAGGCCGCAATGTGGCCAACACCTTGGTTAAACCAGCGAGTTTGGCTTTTCGCCGAGGCCGTTTTGGATGCTTCAACGACCCGCGCGCCCCCCCCCCGCCCCGTGGAGGCCCAGGTGGGAAAGGGGGGAAAAGGGGTTTGGAAGGGGACGCGTTCTAAACCACTCGCTCCCCCAAGCGATGGGGGGATTTGTTTCTTTCTCAGAACTTGAGCTCGCTCCTCCACAGGAAAGGATCATATCGTAGTTTCTTTGCATTTTCGGCCCTGGTCCCGCCTTGTCCCTTCGCGTGGACTGTCGCGCGCGGACTTTTTCTGTTCCGTTCAGCATCGGTGTTAGCTTCGCTCTGCCGCGTGCTTGACTTGTCTGGGCAGAGCGCGAGGCTCCTCACTCGACGCGGGAACGACTGGCGTCGCGTCAGTCCACCTAACCGAAGTGCGAAAGAGAACGCGTTGCAGGCCGATCAGCGTTTCTGCGCGGGCACTGCGGCTGCACCGCCGTCGCCACGGGGGGGGGGGTGGGGGCGAACGAGGGGCGGGGCTGGGGGCCAGGGGGGCGCCGGGCAAGGGAAACAAAGAGGAACAACAAGAGGGCGCAGAGAAGAAGACGAACTTGACGATACAGGGGGGCACGACAAGGACAGGACGAGGAAAAGGGCAGTAAAGCGGCGCGGATTGCGTAAGGCACGTGCCGACTTGAAGCTTTGCGGTGCCTTTGCGGCCAGTTGGCTCCCCATGGCGCGCGTCTGGAAGATTCGCTCGCCCTTTACTTGCAATGAGCGCGGGCGTCGCTTTGCCCGGGGCTCAACGCGCGGCCGACGCCGGCGGCGAAGACGGTCAACGCTCCCCTTGCTTGTTCGCGGCCAGCGCGAAACCGCTCACAATCGCGCGAGCCAGCCCGACGCGGCCGAGGGCACCGCCGCTCGCGCCTCGCGCCCCCTTTCCACGCGTCACGGGACGCGCGCTGGCGCGTGTCACTGCGTGCC